GGTAGAGTGACGCAGGAAAATACAAGCTCCTGCCGCGTGCAACATTTGTGCAATTGCCGACGGGCGACTCGACACGAGTCGAGTAGCGCGGAGAAAGCGAGAGGCCGCGTGGAAAGCGGGCTCTCGTAGCGTCAAGCGTGTAGTTTGGAATCGATTTTTGCGTTGGCGCTCGTCGGTGCTGCGTACGCGTAACGTTCGATTCGTGAACAACGCGCTTGACGTTACGGCGAGCCTGCACAACCTGCAAATAAACGAACGGCGTATACCAGAACGGCCTTGGTAATCGCGGCGAGACTTTGCGTGTCGGTCCGGCATCGTGTAGGTGCTCGAATTGTGATTAATCATCAATACAGTCGAATATCCGAAAATAGAATTGCGACGTCGCGCCGAGTTCTTTCGCTTGAAAGAACACGCATGCACGGCCGATTCGAGAATCGAGATCCATTCACTCTAACGAACTTCGGGGCGTTGACTTCCAGCGCATTCCTACGGGGCGAATCACGGTATAGTCTATTTCATTGGCCGCGTCTCTCGTTTTTCGAAAGATTTAACGATTTAACAAGAAATTTTTCACGCGTCGCTTATCAAAGGACTCTGGGGAGCGATGACGCAAGGACGTCTCGTCGGGATAACACGTGCGTAATTTTTGTACAACGCTCCTCAGATCTTTACGCAGTACAGAGACGTGCGCGTGTGCATTATACACATAAGCGAATTTGCGAGCGAGTAGTAAGCGCGCGCGCGTGCCGTTGCGCAGTGCACAGAAGTAGTGGGAGAGCGCAAGGGGAAAGACGCGGTTGGTAGGGGTGGATGCCCGGTGCGCGCGCTCCGACCGATGCGTGTGCATCCCCAATGGGCCGTCGCGGCTATCTCTATCGCCGGCAACGTCGTATCGCATGCGATGCGCCCACGAAACGCGGCCGTCTCGTCGCGGCAACCCCGCGTTGAGGCTTACTCATCCCCGCGTGCACGAAGAAGCGCGCGATGATATTCGCGCGCACGCGAACACGCGGGAGATGGCATCGCGAGATCTACGTCGTGCTTCGGCCCTACTACGCAGCGAAGAAAAGGATACGCCGTCAGGACAGGGTTGCCACAGAACTAGAAATCGGAGAATTATCAGAGAAAAAAAATCAAGAATTTTTTTTTTTTTGCAAAATTTTCTGGGATATTCTTGGCTTTAAGTTGAATGTACGTACGTCACACCTAGTTTTGAAATATAATACTATACAATTTAACGATTAATAATGTAAATAATATCAGCAATATTAATTGTAATTTATATTGTTGTGCTAAATTGATCCCCCCACCAAAATATTTAACAGTTTTCAAATTAAGACGAAAACATTTTTAAATATTATTGATAGTCAGGGAAAAGTTATGGAATTTTAGGATGAGAAATTTATGACAACTATGCAGAGATAAATTTTCGTCCCTTAAGCTGAAATCACACGATGCACTAATTCTTGATAAGTTATATGCTTTTATGCCTGATGGATAAACATCTAGAAATGCGATTTACGCTGCAAATGCTTCGTTGATCATGCGAAAGAAAAAATTTTGCGAATTGATCAATCAAAGAATGCTTCAAAGTATTTTCAGTGTTAAGTGGATCTTACGTCTAGAATACAATTAATTATCATTAATATATCAAAGCAAGCATAGCAGCATGCATCTGCGATAACATGCATGTCTAAAAGAAGTCATAAAGACATTATAAAGACATTGGTTTGGAACAGACATGTTCAAAAGATATATAAAAGATGTAATAAAAAAGCTCTTCTAGACAACGCGTGTTGTCTGGAATGATGCTTATCAAGAAATCGTGTGATAGTATCGTGTGATTCGAGCTTTACATGTAACTACCCCTGGGACATTTCTAGACGCCTTCCCCTTGATCGAATTTTGCGATAGCACGCTGTCTCTATTACGCTTCATGCACGACGAAATGTTCAATATAATAACTGTATTTGACGATATAATCTTGATATGCTTTTCAAGCAAAATCTTTTGCTTCTTTAAAAAATATCCTTAAAAAATATTGTTATATTTTGAATACTTTATTAATATCGAATACTTAGTAAATAAGTCAGTCAGATAATCAATGCGTGAAAATGATAAATCGTGACAATAATCACGTGCTGATAAATAATATTGATTTTCCACTGCAATTTTTGGATTTTTTAATCTGATGAGTTTTATATATTTTATTATCTTAAAAAATACATGTTTATAATAAATAGCTAACTGCATGGCTCAGACAATTAACAATTAATAAAATAAAGGAAGAAGTAATGAGCTTGGCAAAATAATAATTCAATTAAAACAATTGTATTTTTAGTCATATAAATTGTTCAATTTAATTTGGACCAACTTCAGTGGAACTATTACAAAAACTATACTTACAAAACACCATTAATCATAATATCTCCGATCAAATGTTAAAACGGCTCCCTTTCTCTAATTAATAATATTTTTACTTAATGCATTGTCTTTTGCGGATAGAGAGGATATATTTGGGATAGTAGATCGGCGTCGATCAGTAGCTGCTATCGCGCACGCGAAGATGCTCGTCGGAATGCGTGGTGCCCTCTAGACTAATGCCGTCGGTATTACCGCGTCGTATCCTAAAGGTCGTGGAAAAGGGAGTGAGGGGGAGGGAGTAGTAGAGAAAAGTAGAGGACTGCTGCGAAGTTTCTCCGGAGCACGCCAAACCAACACGCCGAGAGACATGGGCAAGGCAAGGCAAGGCAAAGGGAGAGCGTTGCCTGCCGACCGGCATAGAAGGTCTGTGACCTCGGCAATGGCTGAGCCGCGGCATACGCCGTTCCGTTCCGGCGTGAACCCGGCGTGTATACCGTTTCAAAGATAACGTCATCTATGTCACCGAAAGGTCTTTGAAATCGTCGAAAACCTCTTTCCGAACGGTACGTTCTCGCTCCTCCTGGACGCGTCTCTTTCAGACGCATTTTATTGATAATACATACGCGGGACGCCGTATCACGGGCTTCCGGTCGCCGGTCTTTCGCCACCCGTCACCCGGTATACCGCGCACCGGTGTATCTCCCCGGTGTACCGTTTCGGAGCTGATGTCACTGCACTAGCGAAGCCCTTAAAGCCCGTCGAAGCGGTAGCCTCTCCGTCACCGAACGGCGCAATCCCGCTTATCATGCTCGCGCCTTTCAGTCAATACGCTTCCGAACGCTATCGGCCCATCGCACTCTCTCTCTCTCTCTCTCTCTCTTTCCCCCTTCGCGTCGCTGTCATCCCGTCGGTCGTACCATCCACCCGGTATGCCGCGTGAGAATCGAAAGAGGCGAGCGTTAATGGCGCGTAGTAAACTGAGCCGCGCAAAATTGAAGAAAGCGATCGACGGTGGTGTGGGGTGGTGCGGTTTCCAAGATCACGTCTTAAGTGCAGTCGTTAAAGTCACTCGTAAATATTCATGCGCTCATTAACTAGACCGAACGACTCGGCGACGTGCTATCGCGCGAATGCGTACTTAAAGCGAATTATTTTCGCCGTAGTCTGACGGCTTATTAATCCGGAATGCTTTGAAGGGGCGTCCTACACTGTAGCGTGTTAACGAGCTCATGATTGTCTTCTTGGTTCAGGCCGTTACGTTGGAAAATGTTCGCGTCGCGTGTGCTCTTGCCGGGATGATTGTAAAACCGTTAATAAGTAATTAGCCACATCCGGATTATGCTCGTCAAGCTGCATCACATCTTTAAATCTATATAAATTCACAAGCCATGTATAGAAACAATTCACAGACATGTATAGAAACGAGCGAGATCGATTTTCGATGTGCTTTGTTAGAAATAAACGTAGGAACGTAACACTTTCGCGTCCGCTTAATAAAATATCGAAATTCGATTCAATGCTTATTTCAAGGCAGATTCGTTTCGATTTACTATCTACTTAACTCTTTGTAGCAATAGTTGCTGCTGAAAATGCGATCGAATGATTAAAAGCTAAGACTAATCCGTTTGTAAATGTACTCTGAATCCCCTTGAGCGGAACGACTTGCAATTGTCATTCTATCCGCGTTGGATTCGTGCCCGGGGATAAGCAAGATCCGGGTATCATCCGTGATAATCGTCACTCGAGTAAAAGACGATTACACGCAGGTAAGGATGTTGAGCGGAGGACTTGTCTCGCTCTCGTGAGAGATGCCGGTCCCATCCTTCGCGCTCAAACACGCGATCATCGCGGACCGCGTGGGCTTGTATTCCTCGCTCTCTTGCGATCAATACCACGTGACCGTAACGTTGTGACCGGCGCAACGCGGCGCCTCCGCTACCGGCCGGCCGATGTAAACAAAGAAACGTGCGCGCGGCGCGGCTACCGCACGGCATCGATCTCCTCTCTGCTCAGCTTGGCGTGACTCCGACGCAGGGCTGTCTTAAGATGTTCGAATAAATCGATTCTTATAAATTAACATACGATATCTCACCTGCGATCACGCGTTCAACAATTAATGCTTCCATTTAATGACAATTGAAATACAAAAAGGGATAATAAATAGAAAGATTCTAGGATGCGAGAGTAGGGAGGGAGGGGGAGGATTTTTTGAACTCTGCATATATTGATGTGTGTTGATAACACACGGGCTATGTTAATGATAAATTAGAATCATTTTAATAGCAAAATGAAGGGAATATTAATTATTTTTGGAATGGGGGTTCACTGGAAAACGTTACATGGATGGTGTTTCAATCGATGAAAACAGTCTATTCAACTCGATGATCAAAGCAGTCCTACTGCCAGTGTGAGCCATGCACGAATTGCACCACGGTGTGCCGATTGGTTATGGAACAATGTTTGCTGAAATAAATCATAGCTACCTATACACACAAACACACATTACCCTTTTCCTTTTCGTGAAGTTCTCACGGACATGCGAAGTCCCATTGAATTCTGTCGGGTCTATCACCACGTGATGTATGTATACCGTTCGTGTCGATGATCATTAACAACTATCATCTTTCTGTTTTCAGGCGAATGCGGCAGTGGTCTTCAAGTGCAATTGGCCGGGTTGCCTCGAAATCAAGGCGACCGTCGCACTTATTGAAGAACATGTGCGCCAGTCACATCTGCTTCTGGGGTAAGTTAATACCCTAGATGTAATATGTGCCTCGCACATAAGCGTAAGACGCATTATGAGGTCGAGGCGGAATACACGCGCGAGGTCAAGCCATCAAGTTGGTCCCACAGTCGGAAAAGAGCGCGCTATTGACATTAAATATTTTCCGTGAACCAAAGCGCTGACAATTGGTTACCATTGTAACGTCAGCACTAATGTATACCCTAGCTCGAGCATGCAACTCTCTTCAAGAGCTTATAAAATTAATTGTCACCTGGCTCATAACGCACCACTTTGGGAGTCGTTGATGACGGAACAAAATGATCGTATCCATCTGCGTAAGTCTACATAATGTTTATATAAATTGACATATCAATTTATATTTCTATGATTCTCCTCTTTTCTTGCGACGATTCAATTTTTCTTGATTTTTTTTGACGTTTTTTCTCTCTTATAAATGGATTAATGAAATATAATATTAATAACGATAATAATTTTATTGAATATAAATATATCATATACATAAAAAAACAGTACAGTATAGGAATATAATAAAAAATTGCATATCAATGGCAATAATAATACGATATATATATATATATATATATACACATACAATATATATAAGATTAATTTTTATGCTCGTTGCTTTCCATTTGATACAAATTGACAAGTACTTATATTTCGTTTGTTTCTTACGAAATGCTAAGAAAGATAGAATATATAATAGGTGTCAATTTGTATCACTAAACGGAAAACGCTCAGACTTATGTATTACTGTACATTAGAGTTATACAGGATTTTCTATATTGCATAAAATAAAATCTTTAAAATAAAAATTTTGAGAAAAAGAATACTAATCGTATTAATAATAAAAATACAAATAACACTGATACGAAAATAAATATTAGCTCATTAGCTTGATTTTAATAAGATAATATACTTGTATTTATACAGAGATAGATACGCACTGATAATACTCATACATTATATTTATACATATGATTATACGTAGATAAAAATACACTGTAGTAAAAGTGACAGTAAATAATAATAAAATATAATACAGGTATAAATATTATTATAAATATCATTAAATATTATTATAAAAAATAACGAAATAAATAACAAAATAAATTTATTAATTAAAATGAGAACCAATAAAGAAGTAGCTGACTTGAAGAGTGCGCGAGAGAGAGAGGAGAAAAACTGAATATAAGAAAGTAACGAATTAAAATAGTTTTCTGTGAGAAAAAAACAATTTTGAAATTTTATTGTGTGATGCTAAGGACAAGAAAGCAAGGACTGAAAGTGAATTGAGATAATTTTTATTTTATAGCCCAAAGAAATCCAAGGGATGCGACAGCGAGGACGATCACGAGGAGGAATTCTATTATCAGGAAGTCGCTGTGGATCACATGAGTTCACCTCCCACGATGTCTCACCGGGACATGGCAAGACCACCGCACGAGGACCCAGAGTATCAAAAGCAGCTTCGCCTTGAGGCGACTCCTGCCGCGAGTAACTTTATCGAGAACGGAATGGTCGGTGTCAGGGAACCGAGCAACACGTTTACGATCTCGCAATCGCCGGTAGGTAATCGCGCGTTCAGACCGTAAACCGGTACTACGGGAAATACAATCCGACTAAATTTATCTTCTTTTATTTCAGGGTACACCCAATAAACACATCAAACTGTCACCGCGGCCATTGCAGGCGTGTCATCAACAGAACATGACAGCGTCCACGGGCAAGCCGTCCTCTCCGCGGCGAACTCGCAGCGATGTTAAGAAATGTCGCAAGATCTACGGTATGGATTCACGTGACCTCTGGTGCACTCAATGCAGGTGGAAGAAGGCCTGCACCCGTTTCTGCAGCGAATAGGCCAAGCGTCCGCCCCGTTCGTACGTCCGTGGGCGGAAACCCTTGTCAAGTCGACCCCAGAGTTTGCCAATGCTACGTTGAACGTTAACACCAACTGCCAAATGCCAATCATCGTCGAAGATACGGCGTCGAGAAAAAAGCTCCCGCATTCGGAGCACGAGATGCGAAACCGCCAATTATATCGCCGGTTATAGCGAAAAGTGTTACCCTATGAGTTATTCCAGCATATACCGGGACTTCTCATGAAAAAGCAAAAATGCAAAGCTCGTAAAAGCAGCATCTCTCCCTCTGCTCTCTGTTTTCCGTCGTCGAGACGGGCATGCACGAGTTTCGGAGAGAAACATCTCTCCATAATTACGGTTGGCGGGTAACTCTATAGGATTGATAATCAGATAAAAAGGGTACATGATATAACACTTTTCTAGTGCTCACAGAGGAAGTTACCAACGTAAGATTTATCTGAACGATTTCCGCCCGTTCGTGTTTTGCACTTGGCAAACTCCGACCGGGTCCCTTAGCCGTAACGAGGGACTTTTCGATTAAAATAGATAGCGAATAATTGGCGTGCGGAGCGAGGCGACTTCAAACTGTTGCATTCTCTCGCTCCCAACTCGCCTAACAAAGAGAACCTTTTGGTTCGGTACGAATGAGATACGCACTCGCACTCGGAGCGAGCATGCATGTCCTTCGAAGTGCTGATTCCCGAACCGTCTCTTAGGTCATTGCAATAGATCTTCCTTCTTCCGCTGAGAGCGCAAAACGTTAACGCGCTCTCGGTAATGATGGAACTAAAGGCGTTAGATAAATCCTTAGGGACGCCGTTCGGCCGATCCCTAGGGAACGAGCGATCGAATTTGACGGATGAAGGGAAGACCGGCGGAATCGATGTTCGGTCTGACCGATGTTCAATGCTAAACGAACGCAGACAAGCAAGATTGGTAAGTCTCGCGTGGAACAGAGCTGTTAATTGTGATATTGTATCTAAATTTATTGGATCTGCCGTGAATCGAGCAGGAAAGCGCAAAGGTGTGTAAAGAAATGAGAGAAGGAAAGATAAAAAAAAGAAGAAACAAAATTTTATACACCAATTATACTGCCAGATAAATAATTCAAAAAATTGTTGTTCAAGCCTCTCTCTCGCGCGTTAAAGAGGCACTATATGTTGCACGGCATGCGTCGCCGTATACCGGACTTAGCCTTGTTAGCCTTCTGACGACCTAAGACCGTATTCGCCAACAAAGGAGCTGCACGCGCGTATTGGGGTAGGGCTACGCAGTTGAATCGATCGATCTAATATTTGAAGATTTCGCTCCAGATCACATACATGCACTCATTAAACACACAGGTACACTTATATACATACATGTACTGCGTGTTGCATCAACATATTGATCAAACGTCGGTTATTTTATAAGTGTAATGCCTGTTAGAGAAGGCATTACATTCATAAATGTAATCAATCGAATTTTATAAATGTAATATTTACTAAAAACATTTATAAAATAATCTGATATACTGACCGATATATGTTGACGCAACAGGCGGTACATCGCGAGCGCGAAGAATGGTGACATCACATTTGTATAGTCTAATCTACGTCATTTCTTATACTCCTTTCTCGCTTCGGGTCATTCGCGGGACGATTTATCCACTCGAATCGTTTATTTCGAAATACAACGTTTGATCTCGATAATTTTTCTAATGTAGCGATAACGAATGGACACTTGCAAATTTTATATGTTGACAAATTTGAAACAAACTTTGCAAGTAAGCGCTATGTCCTAAGAGGATTCAACATTAATGACTCCTGATTTCTCATCGTAGTCGATTGAGTTACATTAGAAATCAAATTCGGATTTTATTTGAAAATATACGAGTGTTCTCTATACATAAAAATGAACTCTTTTTTATGAAGATAAATCGTATTTGTAAAATAAATTTATAAATATAATTATATACTTATTTTTTGTACATACGTATTTATATATATTTATATTTGTTAAGGTATATGTTATTTACAAATTTATTTTAACTATTCTTAATTAATCAAAATATCTTAAATCCACAGACTGAAAGAAAAATATTGACTACAGATATTGGTCTGTGAGAAAAACTAAAACAAAAAATACTTTGAATGGCACAAAAAAAATTGCATAATTTTTGTTTTTAATGTAATTCAATACGACTGTCGTATGAGGGATCAATTAAGATTTTAATGCAATAAATGACAAAGTATTTCATATTTTACGGAAGAAAATCAGCGAAATGTTGCAATGTATACTATACTAAAAGCAGCAGTCGCTAATAAAAGTTTCTTCCAATTTCCCGATCGTTGTTCGTACGTTAGTATAATTATCTTGTATATTTAATATAATTATATTCTTGTATATTGTGTCTTGTATATTACGTGTTATTATCTTGTATAGCCCCTCGTTTTTTTTTTATAATTATTGAACTTAATGTATTAAGAATTAGTATATTACTGTTGTTTATTAATAATCACGACACGGGGTTTAGATTTTATTAGCATAATAAGTGTCAATTCTGTTAACGAATTGCGTTAATTTAAACTCAATGATTCGAGAGTATAACTCAGAAAGAGATCAATAATTCTCGCAAAAAGGTAACGGGTTACCTTTGTGTTCAAAACCGTAAGCATCGCGTTGTCAGTATTTCTCTTTTTAATCAATGTCGTCGTATCCATATTTTCCAGAGGGAAACTCGCAGTTTTTTTTTAATTACCAATGATAATGATTGCTATTTAATACAATGTTGTCGTCGCACAGAAAAGATTTGTTTCTTCCCAAGCAAATTTGATGACGAACAACTCGTATGTTACAAGATACTACCTCTGATTGTATCTGTTCATCGAAACTTATAAATTCATCGCATTTTATAAATTTATGAAAAACAACAGCACTCAAATAATAATTATAATATTCATGCGAAAGTTAAGGTGCTGTTAAAACTTTGATCATAGTCAATTTTTTACATCGTGTTCACAATCATATAGAGAATCGTTATAAAGTATATTTGCAAAATAGAACAGCATACAATTACAGATAGCATAGAAAATAATTGCCGTCCATGTAGGTTCCTTACTATTGTCAAAATTATTGTACGTATAGACAGAATTTACCGAGGACAATACGGAAACGGAAACTGCTAAGGAGTGATACTATCACTTAATACTTAATTATTAATATGACTTCTCTACCGTCATTTTATTCTATGCAATCTGTATATATGACGTTAAAGTGCGGCGGTAACATTGAAACTTTTAATACCGAAAAGAAATTATTTCTAAAACTCTACAAGGCTCTCATCCGTAGAGTAGTATTTCTAAAAATATCATTTTTTAAAAACTTTTTATACGTTCAGTATACAATATTCTTCTTAGAATATTTATTGAGATGTCTAATCTTTTAAATTTCGGCATTTTTGCGTTTATTTCTTCATTTGTATTTTCGAACACGTGCAGTTGGCGACAAGTATGGCTTCTGACATTTTATATAGTGTTTGACATTTTCGAATTGAATATATGATGAATATATTATGATTGGAGTGCGTTCAGTAGCTGTCTGATCTTCTGAATTTTTAAAAGATAAATAACGCTAGACGTTAAATTAAAAGGACAATTAAAAAAATAATTTCGAATTTTTAGTCATGATGCATGAATATTTAAATACGATTCGTTCGATGTGAAGACATACGTGACGCTAAATGTACTATCGGGCGAATACTTTAAACAAAAGTTGAAACGGGAATTAAAACCGTTGGTTGAAACGACAAATAACATATTGAATCGTGTTATATTTCGCGATAATAATCCAGCCACTTAGCCGATCGTTTAAGCTTCCGACTCCGTTAACACGGTGCGATGCGAATTCGCTACGCGATATTGTGTCCCAAACACGACACACAAAACACAGTAACACACGCAGCAATAAATTTTTGATGGTCTCTCAGAAATTCGTACGATTTATTGTTGATCCCACTCTGCACGATGACAGAAAACGACAGATCGCGTGCTAGGATCGAGTGTCACTCGACAGGAGTATCGCGTTGAAGAGAATTTTGGCGGACATATCTATCCGCAGAATGGCACTTCGCGAATGTAAACAAGTACAAGTTTATTAACTGTGCCATTATGTATGCCAAATATTCTCTAATTGTGCCCTCACCCTCGCGTAAAGAACAAGCGAGAAAGGAAGAGCCCCTCCGCGAGCGAGGGGGAGGGAAGGCAACCCTTATAGAAAAATACTAGTACTTGGCCAAATCACTTACTTTGAATATTAAAAGTACTGTTTAAAAACTACAATACTTTTAATACTCACTCACAATAAATGATTAACTGGCTAGGGCTGTTAAATTTCTACAAGGCAACTCGATGCGAAGCAAGGGAGGGTGACGAAAAACGGGCAAGTTTCAAACATTCGTAACGAAAGCTTTACAGACTTAAAGATACCTCAGGTTTATTTCATACGAACGTACAGCATACACACCTCGTTGTTCCGTTCGAAGCGACCGGCCGGTCGAGATTATGTCCTCTTTTTTTGCATTGTTCGAATGGTGAACGATCCACCGTCCATCTGTCGCTTCGGTCTGGACGACTGACTGATGAACACCGAACGTTACAAAGTAATATGTATCTCTCTCGCGATATGTTAATGTCAATATTTACTTAGTCAAAGCTCCCGTCGCAACGAGTCGTCGCGACGGTTCGGGACACCGTGTAATATACATTAGCTAATACACTGCGGGGTTTAATCGGCGGTCCGGAGACTTTCGAGATCATCCGCCGCGTAGCCTAAACCAGATGACTCCCCGCTGGTCTCTTCTTCTTCTTCTTCTTTACTTATTGGCTCTCGCCTCCAAAGAAAATGATAGGAGGACGATACGGCCAGATCACAACTCCCCACTGGTGACGAGCAACGCGAGCTCATTGTTATCCGAGGTGTTTAATCGTTGCGCTCGGACGTCGCTTGATCGCGTCGCTTGAGATAAGTGGTGCTTTCTGGCAAGCGACACAATGATCATATTATCTTTGTTTTTATTAACATTGGCAGATAATAAGAATGATTCAGGCCAGTTGTTCCACCTTTTGATAAATTTTACCTCTTAGGTAAGTAGCAAGATTGCCCAATCACATGCGCGGTTACCAGATTTACCTCACAGGTAAAATTTATCAAAAGATGAAACAAGGCCTCAGTGTGTTACTATGGGCGCTTTCTATTTGGTGACACAATTAGTATACGTTCGGGGAGCTCACTACCAGTACTATTCAACGCCTACCACTGTTCGGGGAGTTAACTGATAGCACTATGAAACACTATCGTGACGTCACTGTTGGTAGCGTTTGACGTCACGATTTCGCGCTACAAATGCTATCATTAAAGAGGTAGTGCATTGATAGCGTTCGTGTTCGTGTGCTCTATGAACAGCGATAGTATAATGAATACTGAAATGAACATTGTTGGCTGATACTTCGAAATTAATGAATAATATTCGTTACTTAGCTTTTAAAAATGAATTACGTGGAAATGGAATTGCGTGATGAAGAGTTACAGGAAAGTTATATGTTAAAATTGAATCCAACGGATGTCATTAAAGCAAAAAATGATAAGATTATGGTTGTCCAATATTTTGTAATTATACAGTTCAGCTCAAAAATCAATAAGATTAGGCTAGTTCAACGCGTTTTTACATAAAACGAAAGAATCTAGCAGAATTTAAAGAATCTTGCTTCATTTTGCCGTATACGGTATGGGCAAACACTACACTATTATTGTTCACAGAATTTGTATTCGCTTGGCTCCGTGAACAGAGATAATAGCGTTAGCGTTGATAGTGTGATAGTGAGCTTCCCGAACGCACCCTTAATCGACTCATTCTATGTCTTTGTTACTCATTGAATACCAAGAAAGATAGAATGATACTTATGTCGACTTGTGTCATCAAATGGAAAGCATCCATTGTATCATCTGTGTCTTGCTGGAAAGCACCTGAGGATTTGTCGTCGATCGATCGACAACCGGAAACACATTCGCGTTCGCACTCGGCGGGCCAACCGAGCGCATCAAGTTCGAATTCAAAAAACGCCTCTCTCTCTCTCTCTCTCTCTCTCTCTCTCTCTCTCAAAGCCAGCTGCTGCATACGTACGCGGTAATCGTAAATTCCCCGATTCAGATCAATCAGATCGGAATCGGGCTTTCGATCGATTCGACGGGCGGGCCAGTCGTTATGCGAGCGATCGTGTGATGATCGGGGAAAAGGATTGTCCCATTATTCGGGGAGGGGAGGGAGGAGGGGAGTGATCCTGTCAGAGTACACAACGATCGCTTCGCATTGGTGAGGGAAAGGGGGAGGGTTGATTTACCGATACGGAGCTCTGTCCAGCACGTTCGCCGAGATACCGAAAGAAAGATTGTGTTGCGGGTTAGAAAGCTAATGGCCGGGATTATCATACCAAAACGGATCTCATATCGATTTAATGAAGTGTAATTTTTTTTCACACAGTATGTACGGCCGAGCCCCACATTGCTGAATAGCAGCGTTGCCGTATTTCAGATTGTATCGTGAAGAAAATTGTTAGTGACGCGAACGATAGAATCTGCTGTACGCAACTCGGGATGGCATTCATAAGAAAGGATGGTTTTTCGAGAGATCGTACATCTATTGTAGTTCAACCGAGCTTAGACTATTTGCGCTCGGCCGGCCGTACAGCGCGAAGACATATTATTATTAATATTATATTATATTATATATTATATATTATATATTATATGATTATTATTATTAATTATATGATTATTATTATTAATTTTTATTAATTATTATTAATAATTATTATTACATAGTCATTGTCGTCGT